ATGCCAGTGGCACCGTGTGGCTGTCCCATTCACTGGTTTGATGGTGTCGCCTCTGGAATTATTGCCTGGGTTTGAGGAGGAGGGAAGTTCAGGAACGGGGCTGGCAGAGCCTGTGAGCCCCACCCCGAGCACACGTACAGACACACGCACCCCTCAGGATTTGTCACTGCAGCTTTCTGAGCTTAGAGGTCCTGCCTCTCTTAGCATTTCACAAACAGGAACTCAGTTTCAGCTGAGCAGTGGTCGGGGCTCCGACATTTGTGGAGTGGCCTCGGTTCCCCTTGGTCCTAACCCAGTTCCCTGTCCCCATTCTCTGCTGAGACCCCCTCCCTCAGCCCTGTGACCACACTGGCAGCTGCCACCTGGAGCCAGCGCCTATAGGTCAGCTGCCCTGACCGCCCGAGGCACAAGGGCCCTCTGCCACAGCGCTGGGCCATTATTCACCCAGCCTGGCACGTCGAGTCCAACCACCTCTGGCCCCTCTGGGCAGAGCACTCAGCAACCTTTTCTTTTAGCTCCCATGCTGTGTCCCAGGTTTTGTCAAGATAGTTTTCTGGGGACAGCCCTGGACTGTCTGAGGCTGAGCTCGGATCCTTCCCCAAGATGCCCATTAATACCTTCTACCCACAGCAAAGACCAAAACCCTTAGAAACCAGATGAAGCACAAACCCTGAGGCAGTGTAGAGCCAACTGATTCATTCGTCTTAACATGTGACAATTATTTTCCTTTCCAAAGGGCCCACTGTGGGCATCCAGGGTGTAAAATTAGTCTCAGGAAAGCCCCTCCCAGAGGGAACCAGGAAAAGGTGGCTAATCTGGGAACAGTCAGGACTAGATCTGGGGCAGAGAAGAGCAGACTCCTGGGATGCCCAGGAATGAGTTTCGAACCAGGTGGCCTGACCAGTGGGCCACAGGACAAGAGACATTTGTTTGGCTCATTCCATATTTGTAGTTGCAACATCCAAAGGTTAGAAGGTTTCACACGGTCTAGATTTGCATCAGCTTTTCTTGGAGAATCAGAAGTGCCGGCAACTGAGCACCCATTGCATCATGCAACTCCCGCATGAGCGGAACCAGGGTCGCCCCCTCTGAGCACCCTTGCGTGTGCCCACCGCCCCCATTATGCACAGCGGCTCCTGCCCAGCTGGCCTCTGGCCATGTTAGCTAGAAGGAGATCAAGAAACCCAGCTTTCCTAAGGGCAGGAGTTTGGGAGTCAACCATGGACTGATTGGGAAACGGGCGGTCTGCGCGCCCTCCAGAAATTGCCTGCAGTGAGCCTCCAGGGCGAGTCTTCAGGAGGGATCTGAGGTCAAGAATGTTGTCTGGGAAAGTTCCTTCCTCCTTCGGAAAGGCCAGGTAGGAAGCAGCCCAGGCAGAGCCACTCCAAAGTGCTGGGACTCCCGTGATCGCAGCAGGGCGTCAGCCAGCCTAGGTCAGGGGGCTCCACCGCAAGTCCAGAATCGTCTGAGAAGGGTTCCGAGGGCCACCCAGGATGAGGAGGACTTTGTAAGGTTTCTGGAAATGTTAACAATTTTCCTCTTAGTAGTTAGTACATATCTTTTTTTTTTTTTTTTTTTT